AGAGAGAGAGAGAGAGAGAGAGAGAGAGAGAGAGAGAGAGAGAGAGAGAGAGAGAGAGAGAGAGAGAGACGTGAGGCAGCAAGAGAGAGTGAGAGTGTACACAAATGAGAGAGAGAGAGAGAAAGATTGGCGAGAAACATATTGAACTCGCTGGTTGCTGGACATTTGTAAATTTTTGTAATAAAACAAATTGGTTGCCCCTTTGGTATTCTTTACTTGTGCATGTTTGGGAACTTCGTTGATCATTCTCTGCTGGTATTTGGTGGCGTTTGCATGCAAGATTATTGAAATACGACTATTTTCCCGTTTGAACACGCCGAACTCGCATTCTCATTCGGGGGCATTCCATTCTCCGCGTGCGCATTCAAACTATGGTAATCGGCCGGACCTCCTGACCGCCGTGTGGACAGTCTCGAACAAAATGGACTGCTAGTCTCGAACAAAATGGACTGCTCCGGTGTCCAACGCTGGATGTCCGGAACCCTTTCGCAAGCGAAAAATGGAAAAAAAAAAAGAAAAAAAAAGGGGGGGGCACCCAGGACATTTTCCGGATCCTGGGCGGCCCCCAAAAATACTTTTCCCATTCTTTGGTGTTTCAGAGAGCTAATGGACACCGTCTGAAGGACTCAGATCTGTACTCTCCCGTTCGAATCACGGTGGCAGGCGGAAGGCGGGCGCCAGTTTGAATCAGCCTTCTGGAATTCGTGCCCGCACCCGTTGTCACTACCGCCCGAACCCAGCCAACGAGGAAGCAGCGAGTAGTCAGCCAGGAAGCGCAGCCAGCAAGGAAGGAGCAAGGAGGATGGAGAGCCAGCCATCAGGTCAGTCTCTCTCTCTCTCTCTCTCTCTCTCTCTCTCTCTCTCTCTCTCTCTCTCTCTCTCTCTCTGTGTGAGTTAGTCGATGGTGGTCGCTGGTTGGCGGAGGAGCAAGGGTGACAGGTGCCTCTCTCTCTCTCTCTCTCTGAGTTAGTCGATGGTGGTCGCTGGTTGGCGGAGCAAGGGCGACAGGTGCCTCTCTGTGTGTGTGTGTGTGTGTGTGTGTATATCTATCTATCTATCTATCTATCTATCTATCAATGGTGGTCATCGGTGGGCGGAGCAAGCGTGATGGGTGCCTCTCTCTCTCTCTCTCTCTCTCTCTCCAGCAAGGAAGCAAGCAGCCGGCGAGGAAGGAGCGTGGGCCAGTGAGCAAGGAGGATGGAGAGCCAGTCATCAGGTCAGTCTCTCTCTCTCTCTCTCTCTCTCTCTCTCGGCCAACTTGAACTTCGAAGCTTTCTTGGACGGAGGATTGGTGACAGTTGGATCTTGATGGCATGAACTTGGAGGCAAACAGGAGAGAAGGAGGTCGCGAAGACGTTGAACTTAGAAGCGAACAGGAGAGAATGAGGGGGCGAGATCGCGAGAAGTGGGAGGGTGGATATCCTCAACGGGGGGAAGATGGCAAGGAGGAGGGTGGATCACCATGATGACGTCATCTCTTTTGTTTTTCGTTTTCTTTTCTTTGTTCCGTTTTTGTTTCAAATTGTAAATCGAACCTGCCTTGTTCGCCCGAATAGAACGCCCTGCCATCATAGCTGTATTTGGGACGACTTCCAGATGGCACTGATAACGACCGGGCGTCTTATTCGGGTGAAGATTGTTCCGACGGTTTTTTTCTTTTACCATTCATATTCCGACATTTTTTATCTTCTCGCATCTGCTTTCATCGCTTACCACATGCAATCTATCTGTGCAAGAATATCGAATCAATCAATCAATCAACCAATCAATCAATCAATCGATCAAATCAATCGATCAATCGATCAATCAAATCAATCCATCAAGAAAGCAAGAAAAATCTTAATTGATCGATGGATTGATTTGATTGATGATTGATTGATTGATTGATTGATTGATTTGATTGATTGATTTATTGATTGATTGATTGGTTGGTTGTTTGATTCGCTTTCCTTGATTGTCGGTGGTCCCCCAGATGGCAGTGGCCAAAAGGACGACAGTGCAAATGGAGGTAATGACGGGAGTGGTGGCAGCGATGGGACTGATGGCTATGGCAAGGACAAAAAATGATGGTACTGATGGCGATGGCAAGGAGGATCCCGACTCCGAAGAAGAACCACTAGCTGCCAAACGTCGCGGGACCTCCCACTGGCGCCCCCCCCTGACTGTCTGCTGCTACGCCCCTCACCCCCCTCCTTTTTTTTTCTTTTTTTTCTGGTCCGGACAAAATTTGGAGCCCCCGAGTGCAGTCCAGACTGTCCAGGTCCAGGAGTGTCCGGGTGCCCGGTCATATCCGGATCGCCGGACTGTCTGGACCGGTCCAGACAAACGTCCGGGAGACAGTCCGGAAGAGTCCGGTGTCCGGGTAGCAGTTGCCATGGTTCAAACGCGTTTAAACGCGCCTTAAGAGCAGAGGGGAAGAACTTGAATGCCACGGCAGGACCGACTTGTTTTGCTAAAGACCATTGTCAACAGGAGCACAGCACAGCGTGGATGAGCTAGCTATTTATATTGGAATCACAACCCACACGGCCTTGATTGCCCATATTGGCCTCTTTCAGAGGCCTCGTTGAATTTTCAGGGGCTCGCCTTCACCTAGGGCGGGCACAGACAGTTTCCAGCGGGTGCAGGCTCTTTTCACGACAGCTACGGACCTTATGATTTGCACCTCCCCTGCAGTGACCGATGCTCCTCAGACTCCCTCTCTATGATGGGGCTGCATATAGTTGAAGAATACTGGTGCAGGCATGCACAAATTGCCCAACTCATTCTTCGGCACTCCCCTCATGCCGGTGATCAACTCACCTGCAGTATGAGGTACCTGCTGTACTTGTGTAGCATGAGCAATCAGAACTCTTGCCGACCTTAGCCATTACTGCCCCGGAACCATCTGAATGGGAAGCTTCTCTAAGACAAAGAAGAACACAAAGCATCGTATCTGCAGTCATTATAAATTATGGGGATTCACAAGCTTTCTTGCACTTACAGATAAAGATGCAGGATCTCCTCACACATTTGAGGTCA